CCTTCCTTCCTGGAGGGGAGTGGAGGGTGATGACCTCGGTGCCCTTGAAAGGCGGGATGGGGAGGGGTGTGGAGGGTGCACTTAGGTCGATAGCTGCTATCATGCGGTGTGAGTCCTCTGTTTCTTTATTGTTACCATTTAACAAGTTAGCGCCTTTTACCCCCAACTTTAAACGTCTAATAGTTCTATTTTGAGGATTTAATTGCTGGGATGAAGAACCATAGTCACCCTGGGGCATCACAGGGCGTGTGGTCAGCATGGGGACTGCAAAACGGGTTCTGATGGGAACAGGCTTTTCCCAGCTCCTGTGAATCTGACTCTGTGCTATTATTTGGAGGCAATGGAAAGCTCTATATTTGAGGTTGAAAGAAGACAAAAGTCTTCCTCAGACAGACCTGGGTTTCTGAGAGGAGGGGGTCTTCACATGCCCACTCGCACTGCTGGGAATCGAGGCGTCTGGCCTCCCAGCTCCCACCCAGCAAGGACGCCTCGGCAGCCCTGAACCCGTGGCCTTGCTGGCGCTTTCCTTGGCTGGGAGGAAAGGTGCTTTCCCATCCTTCCACCCAGCCCAGATATCCCGGGGCTCACAGCCGCTGGACATTGCCGGGCCCGGTTCTCCGTGTGCATTTGACGGTACAGCTCACGCAGTTGCAGAGCTGCGGGGGCTCTGCCTCTTCCTTCGGGTCTTTGCAGTTTGCTCAGAATAGATCTCTGCATCTCTCCCAGGGAAGGGGAAGACTGGCAGAGGGTCCGGAGTGCCTTTCAGAAGAAACTCATGAAACCAGGGGAAATTATGAAGCTGGACGACAAAATCAATGAGGTTTGCAGGCTGGGGCCAGCCTTCCTGGGTCTGTTGGGGGGGGAGGGATGTTTATGGAGCTTTGAGTTGCAGCTACAAGTGCAGAGGGTAAAGCGGGCAACTGCGGATGATTCGGGGGTCTTCAGTTTCTCGCTCCTCTCCACATCCCACCCCCAAAGCCCTTCTTCCTCCCTCCTTCACCCTCTCTTAAAAATATCGCATTGAGGGAGTAATTATAAGCACTATTCCACAGTACCATTTAACTTCCTTAAGCCTCAGTTTCCCAATCTATAAAATGGGAGCAACAGTTCTCACTCCGCAGGTTTGCTGTGACGATTACATGAGATAATGCTTATGAAGTTCCTTGGTAGTGACACTTGAGCTGGGTTTTGCAGGGTAACTAGGAGTCTACATGCCAGAGAAGGTGAAGAAAGGCATCCAGGGTGAGAGAACAGCCTGCTGAAAATATGGAGCCATGACATGTCGTGGTGTCTTTAGAGACTAGTACATTCAGAATGGGCTTTTTCCGAAGTGATGCGGGACAGAAGGCAGGTCTTGACGATGTTTTTGTGCCCTGCTAAGGTATTTAGACATATCCTGTAGCCAACCGGGAGCCAAAGGGGAAGGGATTTAAGCATATAGTAATCTCTTTCTACTCCTGTTCACTATTTATTTTGAACTGAACTTGGACCCACATGAGATTATATAGGTGAAGGATGGCAAACTCAGAAGCTTCCAGGGACCAGGTAATTAATATAAACATATAAGGCAGGCCCTGTAGGGGTTTTGGCCAGCAGAATAGTGCATGCGCTTCTTAGAGGTGACAGCTGTCCCAGTTTCAGCAAATGACTGCCCCGTGGGAATGCAGACACAGTGTCGCCAGATCCTGTAATTACTTCTTCTTATTATTATTATTATCATTGACAAGTAGTGGAAAATCCACATTCTCATGTGAAATCTCTAAGTGTGTAATGGTAACTCATTCAGAGTACTTTTGAATGCACTGTGGGCAAAGGAAGCATCCTGTGTACATGGGTGGGCTCTGCTCCAGGGCCCGGCGCGGGCCCTGCTCAGCTGCGTGTCCGAGGGCGAGTGCCTTCGCCTCTCTCTGTGCCTCAGTGTTCTCAGCTGTTACTAGGAAACGGGAGGAATGGCAGCACTTCCTCCCTCCCAGGCTGTAAGGATCAGCTAAGAAAATACACTGTGTGCGGCGCTCGGTGCTACAGAAGCCTCGTGAAATGAGAGACCTTAGTCATCGAAAGCCCTGATTTTGAAAACCGGCATCTAATGGCCTTACATAACTCGTCCAAGGTCACAGAGCTATTTAGCGNCGGGGAATGAGAGACCTTAGTCATCGAAAGCCCTGATTTTGAAAACCGGCATCTAATGGCCTTACATAACTCGTCCAAGGTCACAGAGCTATTTAGCGAGGGAGCTGCATCCAGAGTTTGCAGATTTCCTGGCTCCAAGTTCAACACGCTTAACACAATACCAATCAGTAAAGAGACGTTTGCTTGCCCAGATCTGGAAACGGCAAACCTCAGGGTAGTTATAGCATCACAGCCTTTGAGATGTCGTGCCAACAGCGACACTTGACTGATTTCCCCTCTGTGGTTTTATTTCCCATTCTGATTAGGAGAAATGTTTTCCTTTCTTTAAATTTAGATCAAAGGCTGAAACTTGAGCTTCAGGGCGCTGCAGGAAAAGCTGAGGAAATCACCCAGGGTGAGGTCGTTAGGGCCGCAGGTGAGCTCCGGAGGAAAGTACACACTTGGCGCTTCAGCAGAAGGGGTAGCCTGTGGCCAGGGGCTACACAGGGTAGCGAGACCTAAAGTTAGCTCATGCGCTCTAAATCTTTGTTTCCCCTCAAAGACTAAAGTGTGCTTTTGCGGTTTCTTTCTTTTAAGGTCTTGGCTGATTTTATGGGTAGACTGGATGAGCTCTGTGATGAGAGAGGCCGCATTGAAGACTTATACAGCGAGCTGAACAAATGGTCGTTTGAAAGTAAGTTGTTTTACGGTCTTGTTCGCTTGATTTTGCCAGGATTTTGAGGATAAAAGGTGGCTCTGTGGACAAGTCGACAGACAACTCCTCTGGAATCATTGCTATTCTGACGGGGAAAAGCCACAGGAGCCTTTTTAATGCTTTCAGGCACTGAAGTTATGCTTTGCACTCTGGGTTGTTTGTGTAGTCATTCAAAAAACACTTACTGAACACCTGCTATGTGCCAGGCACTGTGCTCGGCGTGCGGCATTGCAGAAGACAGGCAATATCCTTGCTCACGCGGAGCTTGGGTTCTAGTAGGGGAGACAATTGACAAATAAACACATTTTAATATATACTGTGCCAAGGGGTCAGGTGCTCAGGAAAGAACATAGGTACCTGGATGAGGCAACTCCGCTTTGGTAAGGAGATATCTGCGGTGCAAGCCACAGGGGTGTCTGTGGGAAGATTGGCCCAGAGAGTGGAGACAGGCGATGCAAAGGCCCTGGGGCAGAAATGTGAACATGCCATTAAGGAGCTCCGAGGATGCTGGCGTGAGTGAATTGTAAAGGGAAGAGCTGCTGAGAAAGATCAGGCCAGGGCAAGAACTTTTAGCTCGAGTCAGATGGGGAGCCATGGAGACGTTCAGACAGAAGGGGGCATGACCCCTTTCTTCAAGGGTCACTCTGGGGATAGGAACCAGAGCCCTGCCTTGATGGGCTCACTGCCCAGTGAGGGCACAGGCAATGGAGCAAGGCAATTTCAATACACTAAGCATGTTCAAGGCTGTGGGCGAATCCAAGAGGGGTGCTTCAGCTGAGCTCGGTCTGGGGATGCTTCACGGAGGAGGTGCCATCTCAGCTAAGGCCCCGTGGGTGAGTGAGAGTTCGCCAGGTGGAAGTGAGGGAAGGAGGAATATTCCAGGCAGAGGAACAGAGATTATGTCGAAGGAACAGAAAGGCACTTAGAATGACAGGGGCAACATCCTGCAAGGGAGGGGCAGGGCGAGCAGAGGATGGGAGGGAGGCAGCGGCCAGCCACGCAAACCCGTCTAAACCAGGGAAGGGAGTTTGACAGTGAACCTGGGAGTCCCCGGGAGTGACAGTAAGTGCTTTAAGCAGGTTCGATTTGCTTTGAGGGTCACTCTGGCTGCTGATGGCAGGGAGTGGACACGGCATCCTGAGATGGTGGCTTTTGTCCTGAGCTGTCTCCTCCTTCAGACCAGCTTCACTTTAAAGCTATGGACCAGTCACCTCAGCCCACGAGAAGCTCCTTGCCAACAACAAGTCCACAGAAGGTGTTAAGGGAAAGAGGGGTAGAGAGAGGGAATGATTACAGAGGAGAACAGAAGTGTATGTTTTGGACCTTGCCCACTGTAAATACTCAAATTAAGGCGTATCAAATGCATTTGTTTGCAACTCAAAGAGAATTTGACTGCGGCGGTCTAAAAATTATTGTCTAGCCTTGCGGGAAGTCTAGAGGCCCGTCTCGGCGGTGTCGCTGGGAGCCAAGCTCATGCTGTCTTCTCGCTCATCCAGCCTTAGCTTGTTGCAAAATAGCTCCTGTCCCTTCTGGCCTCACCTCTGCATTTCAGGCACAAATGAGAAGAAAAGAGGGTGCCGGTCCCACTTCACCTAGAAAGCCAAAGAGTATTTCCTGTGGTCTCACAGGCCAGACCTGGGTCGTGTGGCGGCTCTGGCGGCTTCAGGAAGCCTGGGAAGTTAGGGAACAGGTTTGTCATGAGTCTCAGATCCACCTTGATTCATTGCCTGAGAACTGAGACACTGACACCCTAAATAAAACAAGGGTGTCTTAGGGAAGAAATGGGGGAGCAGTATTGGGTAGGCCATTCACAACGTCTGCTACGGGTGAGGTCAGTGATCCACTCTGACTAACGCCAGGCATTGCCGGAGATTCATGCACGTATGGAAACGGCTACGTTTCTGACCAGGAGGTTATGCAGGGGATGGGTCACTGGGCCTGCAGGTAATTTCTAGAAAGGGCTCTCCGACTCTCAGACTCTGCGCGTCTCCTCTGTTCTTAGCAAAGACCTCATGTCTGTGAGAGATGGAATGAAGCCTTTAGTAGCCAGCTAATCATAGAGTCCCGATTGAGTAACAGGGTTAATTATTTTAATTAACAGGCATCTGCCTTGTGCTCTACGAGAAGAGGTTTGGGCTCCTTCAGAAGAACACCGGGGACGAAGCTTTGAACTTCATCATGGCCATCAAAACAGTGAGCATCCCGTAGCTCACCAGGCATCGCCCTTTCCCCGGCAGCAGCCTGCACACATAGCCCAGGACAGGAGCTAAGTGTCCGTTTTGACGTGTGCTGTGCATGTATTCTCGTGCACGTGTGCGCCTATGCACACGTCATAAAAGCACATTAGATCACTATTTAGGCAAAGTTAAAGTAGGTAGTTCAGTTAAAGGTCAGTTGATTAAATTGCTATTTTCAAAAGCCTGTAAATTTTCAGATTTTAAATTTTTGAATCGTTCGGGCCCTATGTGGACATAGTAGATGCTGTGAAACTGGCGTAGGAATTGCTGAAGTTCAGAAATTCAAACGAATATAAAAGTGACAGTTTCCTGTTTTCTTCTTTTTTTAACATGTAGGTTATAAGAGCAATTTTTTATTAAGCCCCATTGAAAAAACATCCCAAAGATGATTTTGAATATGTTCCTGGGGGCAGAGCAGAGAGGCCTGCGGACAGGGCCGTGCTTTGGGTTCCAGCCTGTGGGGGCCAGGGGGTGTCCAGAGTGCTCCTGGCCGAGGGACATGTATCTTGGAGAGGAACAGGGAGGAAAGGTGTCTGTGTTCCTCGTAGATGATGAGCACCTTCGGGAGGATGATGGTCACCCCAGTCGAGCTGCACAGGAGCCTCAACACCAAGGTCTGGCAGGCCCACACGCAGGCCTGGGACACCATCTTCAGATCGGGTAACG